TGTACATTGAAATTTTATTTACCCTGCCTGGTAGCTAGCTACAGCACCAATTATAGGGTTATCCATAAACTACACACCCAGATGACCAGGTGGACCCAAATCCTCAAGTAGCTACATAATGAGATAAGGGTGTTTGTCCTAAACCTCAACTTTCTCTTCTTAGTTCTTTAGATGTATTCTGTGACTTAGGATGGGATTAAATGTCAGTAGGAGAAACTCTTACCAGGTTATCATGTCTGAGTGCGTAAAAACTAAAGTCACAAAATTACAACTCAGTGTCGATAATGTTAGTGGAGATATTATACTTAGTCATTGAATAGTCAGCGAAACATGATCCACTCAAATGTGTCTATGAGGAGGAATCTTCCGTTGTTAATGACCTTCCACGGTTGTATAGTCCCTCCACCTCGACTCATGATCTGTTTGAATTGATCCGACATGTAGAATTGCGGGAAAAGTGCATTTTCTTCTGTTGATTGAAATAATCTGGCAGCTTCTTTGCATATCATCCACACTCCGTGGCCAAAGGCAGTGAAAAAGCCAGTGACACTGAACACAGACTGAAACACATGGCTGCAGCGGTTGTAAACTTTGTATGTAAACATTCCACCGGTTTTTTCATCGTCAAACGACTTGTTTTTCTGATCAGTCGCTGATTGAACGGCAATAGTATTTGTTTCGGCTCTCTCAGCCGCCGCCACCCAGTGCCCGCTATAGCAACTATCGCTGATGATGATCAGCACCGACTCACCACTCTGTCCAGACAGACCTTGCTGCCACACCCGAAATAGATCTGCAGGAGCTAAACGATTGTTTCTTCCTGGCCCCAAGTACCACGCCCCGTCGATACTGTAGCCGTGCCCGGTATAGTAGACGAAGAAAGCGTGAACGTCTGTTCTCCCAAACGCCTGTCGAAGCTGCTCTACAAGCCATTCTTTTCCTTGGGCATCCACGTGGTTGTAGCTGAAAAGTTCATCGATGTCTTGCCCCCGGCCGAAAAACTGGCGCATCGTCGCTAAATCTTTCTCCACACCAGCCAGGTGGCTAGCCGCTCTCTCTTCCAGCGACTTTTCTCGGCTGTCGGGATCCAGCGAGATCCGTGGCGCTATCTTACCGGTTGAAATCTCGTCCGACGCAGGGTCGCATGGGGCGCCGATAAGGGCATAAACGTAGTGATTTCGTCCTGCCATTTTTCACTCTAATGGCAAGTCGTGGGATGTGCGTTAGTATAGAGGGGCAACTACGTAATCGCTACAACAGCGATGACGAAGCGCATTCTTTAGGCACTCCCACACCCCGTAGTGTAACGTGTCACCGGTTCGTTAATTACTAGTATGCGAGGGCATTTTTGGCGCGCGGGAACGAGCACACAATGACTGTATCTGCACGAGTCATCCTAGCCTTTGAACCTTAGAACCACGAAGATTGGGGTATATACAGACTCGTTATAAAGAGCGCAGCGAATCCCAGCGAATAGACGAGAGTTCTTTCGCTGGCTAGATTTCGCGTCGATATGACAGCTAGGCAGCGTGTGAAAATAAGTGCATTCCCCATCACGCAAGCGACGCTGATACTGCAGACGAGCCTCTCTCTGCTCAGGAGTCTCACGGGCACGACGTTCTTTTTCCCTCTCTCTTCGACGACGAAGGGCATCTTCTCTGGACTGATCTTTCCATGATTGCGAGAGTAAGTTACGATGTACAGAGCGCGTAATCCTCGAGCATGCGCAGTTGGACGAGGTACGGTCGTAGATGAAAATCCGCGCCTTTCGTACCACTAGCTCCCGCTCGCCAATTACTAGTAGGCGAATGCATGGCATTTTTAGCGAGCGGGAGCTAGCACACAATGACTCTATCTGCACGAGCCATCCTACAACTTGAACCTTAGAATCACGAAGATTGGAAGGAGGTATAGACAGCCTCGGTCAGGTATCGAAGAGCGCTTGTTTGGCTTGCTATATTTCGCATCGATATGACAGCTAGGCAGCGTGTAAAAATTTGCGCGTTCCCTATCACGAAAGCGACGCTGATACAGACGAGCCTCTCTCTGCTCAGGAGTCTCACGGGCACGATGTTCTCTTTCCCACTCTCTTCGACGACGAAGGGCATCTTCCCCGGACTATTTTCTGATAAAAACAAGTCAGTTACAAGGAAGGGTGAAAATAAGGGGGAATGAGTGGGTGAATGAAAAGCATGAGGAACAGTTCTATTCATCCTGAGGGATGCTGCCCTCGGATGTTGCGAGGGTAATGTCAGCGTCCCGTAATGGTCTGTTGATGGACGATCTAGTCCCGCGGATGCACATGATGGATGATCGGACAGCGGCAAAGGATAGCTTGCACCTTAGCCGACTGATGACAACGGGGTATGGCATCTGTTGTTTCCGGGCGAGCATGTCCGCTAGCCTTTTGTAGAAGGTTGTGGCTTCTCGTCCCATCCCCCCAGTGGTGGAGAACACAAGAGGTGTGAAGACCCCGCACTCCACATCCCGAACACGTTGGCCATAAGCCCGTTTCTTGATGTCCTCGTGTTTCTTGTAGGTATGGATCCTGATCTATTACTCGGTGCATTCGGGTGAAAAACCCTTACGTCGAAATATGCATCTTGAGCAGCAGACCAGAATCCTCTTGCACGGATGTCTAGACGGGCATCATCAGAAGTGATGGCTGTGCGATGGGTCAGGGATTCCCCGCTGAGAGGTTGGAGTCGGGGTTCGGTAGCAACGTTATGGCATACTTCCGAGAGCAGTGAGGCGTTACGTCACGCAGCTCGTTATGTCGAATTGTAGGGAAGCCCCCCTTGGGGCAGATAATGGCATGATCAGTTGAGAAGGCTGTGCCGCAGCTGCATTTGGTTGGGAAGTTCGGCAGCTTCCAGCCATATCGCAAACAAATTGCATCTTTGAACGCACCCTTGTGGAGGGAAAAATTGTGGTCATCAAGTGGCAGGATGATAGCACGAGGAAGCGCCTTTCTCCAAGCAAGGTCAACGTGGCGTTTCAGTTGTGGAGAGAGGTGGCCGTGAACAGACTCGGCTTGTTGCGCCTGATATTCGCGATTAGATCATCGTATTGAGACCTTTGCTTCCAATAGTTCTGATATGTCCACTGATCAGTCCTGATCTTGGGCGGCGATGGTAGCAACTAGGGGTGATGTTAGTGTCGTTGAGGCTTCAAAGTTGCGATGTGATGTAGATACTGGGTTGGTAATTCCCATTCCGCCGAGGCATACTGGCAGAGCTAGCAGGTCCCTCTCCTCTCTTGAGCAAGGTGGGCGACCAGTTAAGGCTGGGATCAGATGTTGTTGGATAGTTTCCTCCAGTGGATTTAGCAGGTCAGCGATATCAGGGATGGTTCGAGACAGAAAGGACCAGCGACTCGAGAGACCGTGAGTGTAAGCACTGAAAGCGGCATGAGGTGTGTCTGGGCAATATGGGCTAGCTTTTTATCTCTTCCGACCATTTCTCCACTTGCCTGCCACATTACTCTTCGGTATAAGATCTAGAGCCAACAACCACTCCAAGATGCCGCTTGCCCTCGGTAGTGATGTTGATATCAGTGTCGGCAAACAACTCCCTGGCCCTCACTGCGTGCTCGGTTTTCACTACGATATGGGTTTTGGAAGCGTTAGGATGGTATCCATATCTGGCGCCGTGTACTTGCAGACTGTCCCACCACTTCTTAGGTCATCACAGGTGCCGGCACCTGTGGCATCGTCCGCGTACCAGACTTGCTTCACTCCGGGGGCATCCAACTTCAATTCCTCAATCAGTGGTTTCACAGCTAGCGCATACATGGCCATGGCTAGCGGGTCCCCCTGTGTAGTACCTTCCGAAGAGGTGATCTCCCCGTCGCCACAGATGATGCATCTTACTGGAGCTCTATGTGTTCACGAGAATCTGGTAAAGGGGAGGGAAAATTGATTTGATGTTGTGTAGGGTTGCTTGTCTATTGACGGTGTTGAAGGCGTTGGAGGCATCGACTAGCAAAGCCCCATGTACTTCCGGTTCCGCGAAAAATTGACGCATAGCATGGACGGCTGCTTCGCCAGCCTCCATCTTGGCCGGCGCACACTTGCAGAGGGCCAGCGGCGTCTGTATGTCGAGGCGGAAGAGACTGAGAATCGCCTTAGCAATTATTCGTCTTGGTACTTCCCCAACTCCGATTGGCCTCACACCGGGGTTTTTGTTCCATGGAATCAATCGGCAGGAAACAAAGGCACTGAGATCATCGGGATGGATGTTGGAAGTGCATATTCTGCGGCCCACAGCGGCAAGGGCATGGCACAGGTCATGAGAGGTGGACTTGAAAGAAGAGCACAATCTCCTCCAAGCATATGCATCAAGGCCAGAGAGGCCAGCGGCACCCTGCGTGTGTAGGGCTGCTTGGAGTATGCATACACGCACGACTAGACTCGTCCCCAGGCCCCACCCGCGAGGAGAGGGTGGGGCCCGGGGACGAGGCTCGCTAACGCACGACATTATCACAGGCAGGCAGCATGTGAAATTTTGAAATCCTTTCGGATAAAAAGAAGCGCGTAATCCTGGAGCATGCGCAGTTGGACGACGTACGGTCGTCGTCATCGCCGTTCGTATATACCACTAGGTTAGCTCGCTCAGTCCCGCTCGCCAATTACATACATACGCTAGTAGGTGAATGCACTGCATTTTTGGCGAGCGGGAGCGATCTAACGATTGTGTACATGCACAAAAAAGTTGTTTAGTTGTTCATAACAATGTCAGGATAGTACAAATGCATAGAGTTGCACAAAGAGAGCTCAGTCCATCTCCACTGAGGCGATGATACTCTCACTGTTTCACTCTAGTCGTGCTTCCCTTTCTTCCGCTGTTTCCGTGTCCAGGTGTTGCCTTGCCCATTCCCTATAACGCAGTCGCCGTTGAAAAACAGACTGGCACGACGTTCTCTTCCCCTTTACAAAGGGCATCCTCTCTAGACCCGATCCATCGCAGAAAGTGTGGTTGGCCCGTGTCACTTCCTCGAGTTACGGTGTAAAAATTAGAAATGTTTTTCGGATAAAAAGAAGCGCGTGGAAGACGTACGGTTACAAATATATAAAGGAAATCGCGCCGTTGGACTCACTAGGTTAGCTCGCTCCCGTTCGCCAATTTAACAACTATAGAGAGTCAATGGAGGTCCTAATATACAGAAAGGACAGTGTCCTTTGCACAGTTCCTGTAGCTCATAGTCATCAGCCAAGAACATCTGCAGAAATTAGTAGAAACATCAACTAGAAGTAAAATGTATTCCCACAGAGAGCAATAGTGCACAAATTGCACATAATACTCTGAAGTGAATAGTGCCACCGAGTGAGCCTGGATACGCGTACATATTGCATATTAATAAATGCACCATTTTCCAATCACATGGTAACTGTCCTTGCATGATAATGTTATTTCCAATCCATGGAGATGTGTGAGCTGCAGCTGACCTTATTACAGGAGCCACAGAGGGAGATGGGGAAGACGGGCAAGACGGAGCGGTAGTACTGGTTTCCAATTGGAGCCCCCCACTCCTTGACCATGACCTCTGACCTGTGTAGTCTGGTGAGTACTGAGCGACTGACCTCCACTGGTTGGAACTCACTGCCACCCTGTGCCAGATGCAACACAGTATAGTGGGTGACTATAATTATACTTGAGCAAAACCAAACTGCATTATTATAGCGCAACTGACTGGCTCACTGCACTAGTGATTTCACATCTATTGGTAGGATACCTCAGTATTAGTGGAAGTGAAAGGGTCGTTCTCATCATCTAACTGATCATCTGGTGGTCCAGACAGTACTAGAGTCTGGGTAGCTGTACATACTGTCAGGAACATAACCTGCCACAAAGACACAGTCCACACAGCACACTAAACCCCTTCAGTACACTGGATGGATGGATACTGCCTTCCTCTGTGATAACTGGACCACTGGTCTTCTTCTGTGGAGGCTCCATTTGTATCAGTCTCACTGCCTCATCGTCACTGCAGACAAACATCAATGCACAACCATTAACTCTTGCCATTATACTGCTAGATGCAGCATCGGCACAAGTAAGGTGTTGTTATCTGACATGATTCCTTCCTCTAGCACAAACTCCACCACTGGAAGAGGCTCTGGTATAATGGGAAGAGAAACATCATAGAGTAAGGTTGATCTCTGCTCAAGAACTAACCAAAGGCAACGAATAAACATCTCGTGAGCCCTGGGTTTACAGGGCAAGGAAAGTAAAAGGTGCACATATTTATGTAACGGTATAAGTATGCATATATATCCCTTGTCCCTTAGAACATCACACAGCTGAAACAACATTGCTAGTACACAAACTACTATTGGGTCCACTGGTTCATAGCTAAATGAACACAAGGGATAGGACCTGTAGTAGGAGAGGAGTCCATTGGAGAGGACGAACCATCTCTTCCAGTAGCCCTTGATGTAGTTGGTCCACTTTAGCAGCCAGCCTCGAAAGTGCTCTGGATACGCCAAGCTCGTGGAGGTCAGAGTGCAAAAAACGCGGGCTCGTTTTTGAATGATGGCGGAAAGCAGAGACCGTGGAGAACCTGTAGAAATTACTGCACTGCGTACCAACCTCAACGTCATCACTAGAGCTGTGACTGTCGGCGACACTCTGCACTGGTTTTCCAACTGCCTCGTGGAGAAATCGTTCATTACTCGCTCAGCGTCACAGGGAATACTTCGCAAGGATGGGACCGCGCTCACGGAAAAAGCAGATGAGCTCCTTGACAGCGTCTTTAACATCATACGAGCCACGCAGACGAAGAGAAACCGATTCAACGAGTTCGTTTCCATATTCTCCAATGACCCAGTATATGAGGATCTTGTAACAAACTTGCAAAGTGGTGTAGTCCAAGTAGTTAGTAACCTCCCTCTTCATTTCAGTTCAGAATCTGCTTACACACCAGACCTATTATCTCCTGCTTCCCCTTCCTCTACATCAACAGTGCCAGACTCAGGGTTGAGCAATCTTCTGACGCATCTCCGTTAGATAACCCACCTGTAACTGGTCCACATTCACTTGTCACTCGGTTTCCATCCTTCTCCCAGTCATCCACCACTTCCTCCTGGAGTCTGGATAGGGTCAAGGCCACAATTGACGTACTGGAAGGTACGTTTGGCAACATCTATGCAGACACAGAAATACAACTGAGTGACAAAGAAGCTAACGATGATCGCTTTTTCATCACATTTCGCTGTCGACTTTTGCTCTTACCGGTCCGTAAATCAATTCTGCATGTCAAATTCTTTGATGTTCGCGAGGACGATATTCTTGAAGCCAAGACCAGTAAAAAGATTCTAGCAATTCTCACCCGCTACATGGATTATCAAAACTGCGAGATCCTAAAATCAATTGTCAACAAATTCTGCAGCACTTCACTGAAGAAAGACATGGAAAAATTCTGCAAATCCCTGGAGGAATTTGAAACTGCAACAACTGTAGATGTGTACCTTAGTGCCATTCCTGATGATGTAACCGAAGAGGTCATGACTGGTTTCTCCAAAATGGTTGTGAAGATTAACAGGCCGTCATCACAATGCACCCTTCATGAAGTCCGAAATCTGAACAAGGCGATCATTAAGAAGTCAACACTCTGCTCTCACAGTGTCTACATTGGAGCAGTGTCCATAAACTGTGTGGTGGTTAGGTTTAGGTTTCCTTCCAGTGCAGTGGGCTGGGTGCTAGCAGCCATCACTCCCGACTTCATGACCACACATCGTCTCACAGAGGTGTCTGTGGATGGCCGTCAACTTTCCCATGTACAGGCCCCCCAATATCAACTGGTATGTAAGCTCCATGTTCCCAAGCTATGAATAGCACAGCCGATTTTATCTGTGTATGTAGAATGATGAACTGATTGCTGCCAGTAAGTCGGGAGATGTGATAAAAGCTGCATCATTTCTCAACAGTGGAGCTGATATCGAAGCTAAGGGGAAGGTATATATGTAAAGGTAGTTATGCCTACTAACTTGAGCCTAAATCTTACAATACTACTACAAATCCTGTACGTATAGTTAATGTACGGAAGTCCAGTGCTGTGCGCGTAATAATGGTACGAGGGGGGTGGTCGAGATAGTCATACAGCACGAGGCGCAGCCGAGTTGCTGTATGATCTACCGAGACCACGTTCCGAGTACCATTATCACGCGCACAGCACGTGCTTCCGTACATTAAGTATTTATTGTATGCGTGGGCGATTCAAAAGGCGGCGACCAGGAAAACCGGCGTTCAGAACGGAAGAGAGGACGAGAAGGGCGCCCTTCCAGCAGCGGTTTGTGTCACCGTCTGAGTCGAACTCCGTCTACGAAAGGCCGCCGAGGGCGTCATTCCCGCAAAGCGTACGCTAGTCCGCGGATATAGTTCAAAAGGCGGCGGCCAGGAAAATCTTTTTTTGCAAGTTCAGAAGGACTAGAAGCTCGCGGAGCGCCCTTTCAGCAGCTGTTTTGTGTCATCGTCTGAGTCGAACTCCGTCTACGAAGGCCGCCACTGGCGTCATTCCCGCAAAGCGTACGCTAGTCCGCGGATATAGTACAGTTGGTGTGATATAGTACAGTTCCGCGCGATACAGTTCATTCAAAAACCGAATATAGTACTGGCGGCGCCTTTGATTCGCCCACGCAAAATACAATAAATTAGTGCTATCAGTTACCGTAAGCGATAGACAATTTGGTGGTTTAGGTGGGGAGACCACACAGTTAGGGAAATAGAGAACAGTTTGGCAAAGGATAACCAGTTAAGGTACTGTCTTTGTTCCTACTCTATATGGAAATTATTGGGCTTCTTGGGGAAAGTTCTCAAAGCTCATGTAACACTCGCACTGTATGCTGGTGTTATGACCTTCTTGAACTTTACCCACACCCAATAATTTCCATAGAGCACTCGCGCCGGTACTTTAACTATATAGTACTTAGAGCATATATACTCCTTTGCCTCATTTCGGGGTTTCAAAATTTGTGCTAAATAGTACACTTGGTCTCTTTTCAGCAGTCAGCCACTTCTCTGAACCATGCAAGTCAGCATGGTAACGTCCAAGTGGTTCGTCTCCTGATATCAAGAGGAGCCAGCCTGCAGAGTAGGGATAAGGTTAGTGGGTTCAAGTTGAAGAATTTTATCAGAAATGCTTTGTCTATCACATAGGATGGCTGGACACCACTAATGTTTGCTGCAGTTGGTGGCGAATGTGAGGCTGTCAAGGACTTGATATCTGAGGGAGTGGATGTTAATGCTCAGAATAATATTTTGAGAAGGTTCAATTTTTCGTCCCACAGGACGGAGACTCGGCAGTCATCAGATCTACCATGGAGTATCAACCAGGCACACTGAGGGAGCTACTGATGGCAGTGTGGTGACCTTAGGCTCAGAAACAAGGTTGAACCGGGAGGCATTTAAAGTAACGTCTCTGGCCAGGTATATATACGCAGAGACTAAACTAATTTATGGTTAAGTGTTGTTTTACATCTTCGAATTTTGGGAGAGTTGGAGTTGCTAATCTTTAAGTCAAGCACTGGGGTAAACATACAAGGTTGAATTTTTGTTGCCACACATTTGTTAATATTGGCACTGTGTCTTATCCAGTTGTCTATTATATAGGAGGGCCTAACAGCACTAATGATAGCTGACAAGAGTGATAGAACTGACATTACAACATTCTGCAGCAAACAGACTTGGGCAATAAGGAGAATGTGAGAAGTTACACATGTACATGTTGTATTCGCAGGTGATGTTCATGTTGTCTCTCTGTAGCTGTGTGGAAGGAAAAGAGACAGCCAGCTCTCTGCCTCCCTGGAAGTAGAAATCACCACTACTAAAGTGTTCAAGAAAGCGCTAATGCCTGCCAAAAGGTAAGGTATTGCATCTCTGCTTTTTCGTCACTTGAGCCCCTTGCTTACCTTCCCCCTAAGAATGAATTTAGGGGCTTGGGGACAATGGCTTGACATCTGGATCAGACAAAAAGAGAAAAAAGATCATCCCATCATTATAGTATGTATATATTAGTAGATGGTGATACAGGCAGGGGTATCGTACCCCATTACTGTTATCTCCGGTGACAGGTGCTACAAAGGGAGAAACTTCGGGTCTGCCGGCACAAGATCCGACCGACATCAGAACAGCTGTCTCAAATCGGAGGAACAAATAACTGAGGAGACCTCCTGATATGAGATCATTGGACATAGTCTACGGGTTGATATGGAAGTTAGGAGTAGATCCTGCTCTGAGGGATAATACACGTGAGTTTTGTACACAATGTATGTTGCAGAGAAACAGCTCCTGTATTGAATTCCATTGAGATCATTATTTCCAATCCATGGAGATGAATGGCAAATAAACTGCAACTTAGGCTTTATACATGAAGCATCATCTCTTCTGCTATAATAGCCCTTATACGTCTGTACGTCGTGCTACTGCGCATGTCTAAGGATTACGCGCTTCTTTTTATCCGTTACAGGCTGCCTGTCATGCATGTCGATATGTCGATGCGAATCTAGCCATCGAGAGAACTATCGTCAATTCAGCGGCATTCGCTGCGCTCTTCGATGCCTGACTGAGCCTGACCTCTTTCCAATCTTCGTGGTTCCAAAGGTGCAAATTGTAAATCGGCTAGGATGGCTCGTTCAGATACAGTCATCGCGTGCCCGCTACCGCTCGCCAAAAAATTGCCATGCAGTCTGTCGATCTAGAGGTCAAAGTGGAGTAGGCGTGGCTCCTTTCTTTGTTTACGAGACACGCCCTCACTGAAAGATGGCCGACGGCGGCGAGCCCCAGGAGATCGCAGCACTTCGTACAAATCTTACTTCCATCACTGACACGGTGACGGTCGGAGGCAATCTACAATGGTTTGGCAACCGCCTCGTGGAAAAAAGGTTCATTCCCAGGAGAGAGGCTCAGGAAATACTCGATGTTAGCGGAACCCGACCATCGATGAAAGCTGCTCAGCTCATGGACAGCGTGTTTGCTGTGCTTGAAACGACAGATAGAAAGAGACGCTGGTTTGATCAGTTCGTCTCCATTTTCTCCGCCGACAAAGCGCACGCGGAGCTCGCGGCAAAAATTAAAAAAGTGGGAGTTGCCACTGCCAGCCAGCAGGAGGGTTCTCAACTATCCCTTATACAGGCCCAGAGATATGAATTGGTACGTGTGCTCCATGTTCCCAAGTTATGAATAACACAGCTGATTTTATCTGTGTAAGTAGAATGATGAACTGATTGCTGCCAGTAAGTCGGGAGATGTGATGAGAGCTGCATCTCTTCTCAACAGTGGAGCTGATATCCAGACTAAGGATGAGGTATAGCTATATGTTACTTTTTAACCACTGAGAAGTTCACCCTCTCCATCGGTCATAGATGACCTGCGCACTGTAGATACTAACATGTAAATAAACAATTCTGCGAATTTAAAAAGTGTGGAATATAGGGATGCCATAAAAAGCAAGGAGACAAGACATGAATGACCTAGTGCATGTGATGCAGTAGTACAATGGATGATGGCTACATGTTCAAACTGACAATTCTTGCTTGTGTAAATAGGCCTTTTGCACGCAACGATAAAGGAATTTAATTACGTGGTTATGTCACATCCGGTTGCTCTCTGTATGCGGTGAACGGAGAAATCGCGGGTGTGCACGCACTTCGGTAGCTCATAGCGTCCGTTTAGTACCGTATATTCTATGGAGCAGTTTTCGCTCGTTCGAACGGTACGCGAGGTGCGAGAATCCGCCGTACTAGCAGAGAACCAACACTGAATGGTGCATTTCGGGGGCATTGTGTATGCTTTTTTAATCTTGCAACACATAGGTATATAGGCGATGAAAGGAGGCTTCTGGATCCTTTGTTGGAGTGCTCCCACAAACAACGCAGGTGTGACCAAGCATTCTCTGTTGGTTCTCCGCCAGTACAGCGGATATTCTCGCACCTCCTGTATATACCGTTCGGACGAGTGAAAACTGCTCCGTCCGTTTGCATGCGTTTAAATAGAATATACGGCACTAAACGGACGCTATGAAGTGCGCGCACCGATTTCTCCGTTCACCGCAATACATTTGGTGGCTACCGGAGAGCAACCGGATGTGACGTCACGAGAGCAATCAAAATACTTTCGCTTGCTTCTATTTACTCCACACAAGCCCTATATTGTCACCTCTTACTCATGACATGAGTTTTGAATAGTGTAGTGTGAAGAATGTAACCATCATCCATTGTAGCTACTACTGCACTAGGTCATCCCTGTCTTGTCTCCTTGCTTTTTATGGCATCCCTATATTCCACACTTATTAAGTTCGTAGAATTTTTTGGTTACTTTTCTCCTTTCCTTTTTACGGCATGCACATGCATTGGGGCATAATGCACATATAAAAAGTATTGCCTCAGACTCTTTGTTGTCGTCTACATGCTTATTTAACCACCAAAGTATGTGTACAAAGTTTCATTGTTGGAGGACCCACAATAAGCAAGTTATACGAAAAACAGCACTTAATTGCCTGAGGCTATTTGTTGTTGTTTACACACTTGTAATTAACCCTCGGCGCGCATGCGCAGCGAGGGTTACACTACTTGGTCTGTCCGTCTGTCTGTCTGTCCGTCTGTTACCACGTTTTCTGCCACCACGCGCAACAAACAGGTAAAATAGCGATGGGTTCAGCGCTACACTGGCTTGATTTTAAAAATGGCGATTTTCGTAAAAGTGCCGCGTTCAGAAGTTGTGGCGTGAAAACCAAGTGAACAAGCCATTATGCTAATTAGCACTAGCTTACCTCGACCGGGTCCGCTTGCTCTGTGTACCTTGGAGGCACAAGAAGCCTCAACGAAGGGCGTGTATCGACTGCCGCATGCTATCTACTACTATGTAGCTAGCCTGTGTCAGACTCTCCGCGAGCAACTACCGGGAGATCACGAGTAAACGTAGGCCCAGCCCATCAATTAGCGCTACCGCGCATGCGCAGTTCGCCGAGGGTTTGCACTTTAGTGCTTTTCATTTATGTTTCGATGAACACTTATCATAGTAAATCAGTGCCAGAGGTTGTTTACAAAGTTGTAATTTCTGTTTCAATGAACTCTTATCATGATACATCAGTGTACCAAGTTTCATCTTGTTACTTCATATAAGACTAAGTTTTGAGTCACGAAATTTGTTGTTGGTTACCCAATGCATAGTATGCCATAAGAAAAACAGGTTCTGAACATGGGTTAAGAACAATTAAAATGCTAACCAGCAGATTTCGTGACTCAAAACTTAGTGTTACACGAAGAACTGACCAGTTTCATTGTTAGAGGACCAACCATAAGCAAGTTAGTGGCACAAACACCATTTACAAGTTGTGATTGCTTGAGGCTGTTTATTGTTCTTTACAAACTTGTAATGGTTACATTTTGATACTAATGATGGGTTGCATGTGTGTACAAAGTTTTATCATTCTGGGTATTTCCTCTACCTATAGTTAGCACACTTTGTTTGTCTCTATCATGGCTACCGATTATGCGATTTAAGCCATTTATTAGATACATGCTCTTTGTGACGATACAAATTAGTCTGATGTGTCAAAAGTTGGATCTGATTCAAACTGAAAGTGAAACATGAAAATCTCAAATGTATGGGCATAATGCAGGACAACTTGTGTGATCCCTGTATTCTACTACCGTACTTAGTAATCCCTGTGAAAGGGGCAAGCAATTGAAAGGGGGCAGTAATAAAGAAAGATGCCTGTTGTCGTCATGGAAATGATTTAACAAGCAAAACCAATATGCACCTCGGCCTGATCCGCTCGCTCTGTGTATGTGTTGGAGGCACAAGAAGTCACAGCGAAGGGCGTGTATCGACTCCCGCATGCTATCTACTTGTGTAGCCTGCCTGTGTCAGACTCTCTGCGAGCTACTAGCGTGAAGACCACAAGTAACAACACACTCTATTGGCCCAACCCATCAATTAGCGGTATTGCGCATGCGCAGTGCGCCGAGGGTTTGCACTTCAGTGCTTTTTTTGTTAGTTCCACACATCATGATACTGCTGTCTTGGTTCTCATCAGGTCTTTTGGACTCCATTGGACTGGGCCAGTCGGTATGGTCTTCTCCAAGTGGTTCGTCTTCTGATATCAAGAGGAGCTCAGCTCAACCACCAGGATGAAGTGAGTGAGACAGTTTCTGAGGGTGAACCCCTCCACTGATGACCATGTCATCACTAAGCAATGGTTATAGTGTTTCATGGAAACAGCCACCATGTACGGTGTGGGGGACCAATGTCTCAGTCAATGACAGAAAAAGCCTCTGAATTTCCTTGTTTTACAACCATTAGCATAATCTTATAATTGCTCCTTCATGCATTCTTAACACGAGAAAAAGGCAGTGCTCGACTTCACCAGGAGCAAATGGTTCCTCGCCATTATGTGCAGTGGCATTTTGCTACCATGATAATACAGTATACACAGACAATAATTATCTATACTCCTAAGGTAACATTATAGATGGGCACGGAAAATGGGTGCGCCCAGTTCTGAGCATTACATATCTTTGCCACTCATGGGCTTCCCTAATTTTTTGAAAATGTAACCAAATAATTTCATGGGCTTTTCAGCTGTGCTACTGAAACATCAATCTAACAACAAGATTTGATTTTCTCTCTGATTAAAGTGGCTATCCTCCAGCCACCATGTGTTAGTTCTTTTTCTATGGGCAACACACATCACTGCTACTGGCATGTTCTTTTATCACACAGGATGGGAACTCTGCCTTGACTCGAGCAGCCTGGTATGGTCACACTGATATTGTTGTGGAGCTAGTGAAAGCAGGAGCCAATTTGGACCTTCAGAATAAGGTCTGCAGCTACATTTAACCACTCCTATAGGTCGCATGCTTAACCTGCATATTATAATGTTCTCGTCCATTTCCCAACTTTATCCTAAAACAATTGAGGCTGCATATGCGAGCACTACAGGTTGTCCTTTGTTGTGTCCATAGAAATAATATGTGGAAGTGCTGCTCCTTCCCCTTTTGAAACTTGAGTCAAAAATCCACTTCTGGGTCCGAAGTTACACTTGCACCTCTTGGACCCTTATCATAATTTGCCGGTATACACGAGTTCCTTCGAACTCTATCTAGTTAACCCTCGGCGCGCAAGGGTTACAGTAGTTTGTTGGTTGTCTGTCTGTGTGTGTGTGTGTGTGTGTCGGAGCTTATTCTGGCACTACAGGCTACGAGGCCGGCCTATTAGCGATAACCAGCGGCTTCAGAACTACGTGAGCCTGAAAAACAAAAGGGTGATTTTCCTGAAACGACTGCGTTCGAGAGATATGCCGTGAAAACAAGCGAAAAAGCCATTATGCATATTAGCACGGCTTACCACGACCTGATCCGCTCGCTCTGTGTACCTTGGGGGCTCAAGAAGTCACAACGATTCTCATCTCCACAGAATGGATGGTGACTCTGCCTTGCCTTGAGCAGCCTAGCGTGGTCACACTAGTATTGTTTACGAGCTGGTGCTAGACAGACACCTTTGTTGTCACACAGGATGGAGACTCAGCACTAATCATGGCAGCTGAAAATGGTCACACTGATGTTGTTGTGGAGCTAGTGAAAGCAGGAGCCAAGTTGGACCTTCAGAATAAGGTCTGCAGCTACATTTAACCACTCCTGTAGGTCGCACGCTTAACATGCATTATTGTAATGTTCTCATCCGTTTCCTAACTTTATCCTTTTATCCTCAAACAATTGAGGCTGCATATGCGGTCATGCATTACAGGTTATCCTTTGTTGTGTCCATAGAAATAATAATTATGTGGAAGAACATCAGATCATCGAGGGCTAGGACCTGGGCTCAAGCTGGTCTTGCTAGCAAGACCAACTCCAGCCAAACCCTGTAACAGGGTGTCATTAGCATCCTCTTTGCACATTGCTTGTGTGCTGCCCGTTCCGTTTTGGAACTTGAGTCAAAATCCAAGCTACACTTGCACCTCTCAGACTCTCTTTGTCATAATCTGCGGAAATCTATTCTCATCTCTCCACAGAATGGAGACACAGCAGCCATAATAGCTGTAAAGGAATATAAAAAAGCCACTCTGAGGGAGCTTGTGAGGGCAGGGAGTGACCTCAACCTCCAGAACCAGGTGAAATACACAGTTACTGTGGACACTACACCACATATCATCCCCAGTCCTCATATTATTAGGAGGGACTCACTCCACTAATGATAGCTGTCAGGAGAAGGAGAACTGACATTACTAACATTCTACTGGAGGGAAAGCACACCAACCTTGATTTTCAGGAGGAGGTGAGTACCCACAGAGCAATTGGTTAGACATGTATATACTGGTTACCTCAGAAACGGTAATGTGTGCTTGGAATCCATTTACGGCGCACTACTTGAGGCTAAATTGCCGTCGGGCACGCCCCTTGTTGCATAGTGAATCGACCTGGGAGTGCACAACGGACCCAATGCTTGCGCAGGGTATGCGAGTTCCTTCACACTCATTCTAGTTATAACTTGAGTCAGAATCTACTTCTTGGTCCGAAGTATTTCAGACTCTTCGTGATAACCTGCAGAAATGTAGTTTTCTATAATTTCTTCTCATCTCTCCACAGAATGGAGACACAGCAGTCATAATAGCTGTAAAGAGACGTGAACCAGACACTCTGAGGGAGCTAGTGAGGGCAGGGAGTGACCTTAACCTCCAGAACAATGTGAGATACACAGTTACTGTGGATACTGCACCACATATCATCCCCAGTCCTCCATATTAGGAGGGACTCACTCCACTAATGATAGCTGCCAGGAGAGGGAGAACTGACGTTACTAAAATTCTACTGGAGGGAAAGCACGTCAACCTGGATATTCAGGAGAAGGTGAGCACCCACAGAGCAATGGGCGAAGCCAACTGTCTATGGCTGCCACCTGAGTTGCTGTAACTAATCTCTCGTAATATAGAGGACAGAATGGTCAGCTCTCCACTTCTCTGCTGAGGTAGGAGACTCAGCTACAACAGAAGCACTGCTCAAGGCTGGAGCTAATCCTCACCTCCAAGACAAGGTTTGGGAATCTGCTAGAAACCCTTACTTTCTCCTCCACAAGCCCACCTAGTAGTAAATTTTAGTTTCACTGCGTGTTTAAAGTGCCTCTTTAGACATGTACAGTCTGGTTACTTCAGAAACGGTAACGTGTGTAGGAATCCATTTACGGCGCACTACTTGAGGCTAAATTGCCGTCGGGCACGCCCCTTGTTGCATAGTGAATCGACCTGGGAGTGCACAACGGACCCAATGCTTGCGCAGGGTATGCGAGTTCCTTCACACTCATTCTAGTTATAACTTGAGTCAGAATCTACTTCTTGGTCCGAAGTATTTCAGACTCTTCGTGATAACCTGCAGGACATTATACCCACCTTCAGTCGTCCACGCGAGAATTCGCTG